TTCAAAAGGTAAATGAGGTTTGAAATTTCTTTACGTCGTTTCAAATGCGAAATCTCGTGGCACAAACTCACAAATACCCCAAAATTACATTAAAAACACATTAACAAGTTTGTTAATGATACACCTTTTGTCAAAACAGTCAAATACAGAAGGTTCGGAAATCGTTCAAATTTTATTTTCAGATTCAGCATGATTAAAAAACACGAAAACTTTTCTGGGGAACGTTATTTCTTATCTAAAAATAAATCAACTTCTAAACGATTTTAATAAATTTTCCTGTACTGTTGCGTTAAAAAATTCCAAGCAAAGACTATATGTAAAAATTTTGTCTAATATTTTGTAAATACTATCTACTGATGTCAAGCAACAGAAATATTGCACAATAAAAAAAATCAAGGTTTTAGAGGGCGTAAGTGGGTAAAAATCTTTAAAAGCAGATTGTGAAAATATGACATCTTTTTCATTTTTTAAAAAACAAAATACTTGTTACTTTTATTTTATACCTAAAAAGTTTTATTGTTGGTTATTGAAAGCATTCAGAACTATGAGCCTAATGGACCTACCCCTTCCCCAATAAGAAAAATTTATTAAGTAAACTTTTCAAAACACATTTTGTAAAAAAAATACTGATAGTTATGAATCCTTTCAAAAACCGAGGATGAAATTTGTAGGCATTAAGTACAAGTAATTAACTAGGAGTATTTTGGTTTTTGACAACCGATAAAAGACAATGACATTTTCACAGTCCGTTTTTAAAGATTTTTACTCCTTCATCCCCTCTATGGCCTTGCAGTGACCTTGAAATATTTTTGTTGGTGCAATTTTTCTGTTGTTTGACGTCAATAGAGAGTGTTAAAAATATTAGACCAAACTTAATGTATACAGTCTTAGCTTGAGATTCTTTAATGTAACGATACCGGAAAATTTATTACAATCGTTTGAAAATTGAATTATTTTTAAATAAAAATAACGTTCCAAAAATTTTTTTATATTATGCTGAATCCGAAAATGTAATTACTTGCATGTTTCCGATCCTTGAATATTTTCTTGATTGTTTTGACAACGAATGTCCATAATACAAATTGTTAAAACTATTAAGTTATAAAAAGCCTATTTTCTTTGCACAAATGAACTGTCAGTCACGTATTATACCAAAAAAATTCCTCCAATATTGACTACAAACCAAATTAGTAACAACAACAAGAACAACAAAATAATATTAATATTGTCCTTTTTGTATTATCTGTTATGGTTACTTACGTGAAATAAGAAAAACATTGAATTGTTTTTACAAGTTTCTTTAACGGAACATCAACTGCTACGGTCATTAGTCCCGTTAGTGTAATAAATATTTTATTATGAGAAGTTTCTCCTTCACTGGATGGTGATGTCCGGCACCGACATACATGTCGGCTTGTAAAGAATTTCCCCCTCCAGGTACCAGGTGTTCAATGCCCAGTCGGGACAAGCTCTAAGCTCCCGAATAGTGTATTTCTTTCTAATATCTCCCGTACAGTTAATATTTACAGGCATTTGTAATCATTATCGAATTTGTAAGCACAGGCACTTTAAATATCTTAGAAAGTTTCCGAAAAACTCGAAAGTTTTATGTGAAAATGATGACAAAATTAATAGTTTCAAGAAAGGCTCAAATAAAATTTTCTCGAGAAAGACTCCTTTTTTAAAATAAAAAGATATATATAGGACCATGTTCTATTCTTCAACAATATTCTTAAACCCATCTTTCAAGTCTACTATTAGGGCAACGAAATACTGTCAACTGAAACACCTTCTTTAGATACCAGCTGGTAAGAGGGTAAGGGAATACCTAAAAGCTAGCCTGGACTAAAGAGATTAGAAAACTCAGTAGTGCGAGAAAGTCTGTACTTGTAGGACTACTAGTTTTCTCTTTTTTGGTTTACTACGAACTTAAGTAGCAAAAATAAAATATTGTAACGCTGCGGCAGAGATCGACGTTTTTGCGATAGAAAAACTCGTATTGTGGAGCTGTGGTATAAAAAAGTGGATCGTATGTATTGTAAATAGTGCATTAAATGGCTTGAAAAGAGCGATGCGGTGTCCCACAACGTGCAACAAACGTCCACCAAATGACGCGTGGCGAGCGGAGGAGCCCGGAGAGGCCAGGCACTCACCAGGTAGCCGGTGGCGGGGATGAGCTCGCGGCCGTCGATGATGTGGCCGTTCGCGATCTCGGTCTCGTCCTCCTGCGAGTTGAGGCAGAAGAGACGTTCCGCGGTGTCCGACTTCTCGCTCAGGCGATAGCTGGGGACGAACCAGTCGCCCTCGTGGGACCAGCGCACCAGCGGGGAGATCATGGGGGTGCCTCGGGGTACGGGCCACTGCGGAGGCGGGTACAGAGACGAGGGTTTAGGCTGCAGCCCCGCATTGTACAATCTGCAAAGGTCAGGGAAAGGCTTAGGGAAGGTAGCGACAGTTGTTTGTGAAAGGCTATGTTCATTGCCAGACCAGATAATAGGAAAGTAGAGGTGTTACATCACAAACTTTCTCGCATTATTTGAATATTTAATATATATAATATATATAATAATATACCATATATAATATATTATATTAATAATATTAATATATATATATACAATACATATACCACCAAGTATGCTTTACATCGTACAATAAATGAAGCTTGGAAGCTATATTTAATTTTGCAATCGCTGTCCTACGCGAAAATGCAAAATGACAGATATTCCTGACGGATTAAAAGCGCGGAAGCTGCGGAAGCTGTGGAAATTTACTACCACTAGTATATATAATTAATACTATATGTTATAATATATTATTATATATATATATATATATTATTCAATATACTAATTATACACATATGAAATAAATAAGAAATGTTCAAGATGGCGGAAATAAAGGTAATAGTAAAGAATTATGCAAGAACATTATATTTGCTTATTTTGCCAGCGAACATGTAAATATCAAGTTCTTCATATGCTCAGCTTCGGAGAAGAAAATGTATACCAAAAGTATATAATGTAACAAGTGTCATTGTAATTAATTACAAGTAGTATTATGAGTAAATGTGCCATTTGAATTATTAAATTATTTCGTATAAGGTTTTCCATTGTCTAATTCTTTCCAATGTTTTCAATGACAATATATTTCTTTATGCATCAGTATTGTTCAGTTAAGCCGGCAGAAAATTCCACTTTGTTGTATCGTGACAATTTATAGCTAACTTCTTATACTAACTACAGAGTCTAAAAAAGAGCTTAATTTAGACACCTAAAGTAAATAACCTACAAAGACCAATCGATAAAACAAAATTTTATAATATCGTTTCAAATACAATAAAACATAGAAGTGAGCTCGTACCCCAACACTTTTTCTCGTTCGATGCTCTTATTATATATATATATATATTATATTAATATATATATATAATAATTATAATAATATTATCTATATATTATGTACCACATTTACATACAAGAAAATTACAAGTGTGGTAGAAAAGTAAAGACGCATTAATACTAACTAAATATTTTATTTTTCAAAACAACAATGTGATCCCCTCAAATTATTCCGTTGGCACCCATACATCTGCAGAGTCGTTGTTCCTCGCACTTCTTTGAGCCAGCCTGGACATGTCTTCCAATTGAATGGCTTTTTAACTGGTTCGTCCGTCATTTGAATGTTCCCCAGAGTGCCAAAATGACGTCCTTTTAGACATTTTCAATTTAGAGGAAAAGGAAAAATCACAAGGACTCAAAACAGTGAATTAGTGGAACAGCAGTAATGAGCCTTTGAGTCAAAACTTCAGCTTGATGGAAATGCCGTGTACACGCATTCATATGAAGCATGGCACTTTGTCTGCAATTGTCCTCACACGAATCATTCTTCCCTGAGCCTTTCAAGACACTTTAAAAACACTTGGGACAGTTTGTCCTGCGTGGAAACAAATTCTTTGTGCACGATTCCCCATTACGTCAAAAAAACAGAACAGCATGGTCTTATCTTCGATTTCTCATTCCACATCTTCTTCGGCCCATTAGAGCCGGAGTGCCCACTCTTCGCTTTGCCGCTTCGTTTCAGATCTACTCAAACTAACCACGATTCATCACCTTGAATCACACAATTGAAAATTCTTGCGTCATTGGCAATCCTCTCAAGAATCCCAGCGCACACCAGTTCTTTCCGATTGTCCTTCTGTCCAGTTGTGACGGTTTTTCGGCACCATTTGCGCAAAAATCTTTTCGCAGCTTCAAATCATCTGCCAAAAATTTATGTAACGGTGAAAGATTAAATTTAACTGTTCACTGACCATCCTTATTGTAACGCGTCTGATCGCACAAGAGCCGCGTCACACCGTTCAACCTTTTTTCGTCAGTTTTTAAAGTTAAATGGTTCTCCCTAGCGAGGTCATCTTCAACGTCTCTCGACCTTCCAAAAATGATTTTGCCAGCGAAAAAACTTTGCCCTGGTAAGCCATATGCTCCATAGGCCGGTTTCAACTTTTCAAAAGTCACAACTTACGCAGTCACCAAGATTTCAACACAAAAACTATATATGCAACAAAGTTGCTTCTAAATTCCGATGCTCCATATTCTCTAACACACAACAAAAAACATAACTTCACTGATGGCCCTGTCAAAACTAACTGTTTATTTGTATCGCAATTTAACTCGACGATATGCTGGAAGAGGGATAAACAGATATACTTCCCACAGCCGTTAGACACAACTTGCACAGAAAATTCCACCCAAGTGCTTACAGTCTCATTACGTTTCCTCACCGACCTGTACATACATACAAACTTATCATACATTGTTGGAAATTAAATTTCATAAAGGATATTTTGTCCCGCGGTGCCGGTAGTCGGTAGCTACGCGATATACGTTTCATAAGGCTATACATCGTAGATTAAGATATTTTTGAGTTTATTACTCATTCAGAAGTTTAAATGAGTTTCTCGCAGTGGAACACTCACCGTCCGATGCGATAAAAGGACATTAAGATTCCGCCGCCTCGTCGAGCAGCGCACTTTGACACATCGCGACGCCAGCGCGCGCTTGAGGATGGCCTGCAGGCCAGGCCTTGCGCGCGTACCTCGATGGCGACCGGCGTTTTCGCAGTACGCGTGTGAGAGGGGCTCGAATAGCAACAGTTGGAGAATATTTGGTCAAGTCACTCGGGCCCGAGCACAGCTGCGCCTCGGGCACCCCCACGCGCCTCGCCACGACGAGCTGAGCCAGCGCGCGCTGCGCGCGACGCGGCTCCGGGATTCACCTCGCCATACAACGTGTGTCGCCTCGCTCTCTCTCTACTCGTTTCTGCTCGCACGCCACGCTAGCGCGCCTACCTCCTTGAGGGAGGCAGGAGCAGCTCGCCGGCGGAACGCGATGTATGCGCTGTGGTAGGCGATGCCGCGCACCACCTCCTTGCAAACACCGCCGCCGCGCCTTGAGCTTCCACGAGAGAGCCGCAGCGACGCGGCGGGGCCCGAGATAGGTGCGGATCGGCCGTTGTGGCACGCCACGATCCACGATCGGGCGAGGCACAGCGGCCGCCACCTCCGCCCGGCCTACCCCACGGCCCCCATGGCGCCCGCCACGAAAGCTGGGTCCTCGAGCGTCCGCGCCGCCGACGTACGCCGCCCAGCACCGTCTGCTCACGGTGAGCGCAGCCTCGGCATAGGCACATCCAGCTCGCCCGCGAGTGTCCGTGATGACGTCGGCTCTATGTCCACGCGCGCAGCACGGTCCACCCCCCACCTCACCGCGGCGAGCCCACGATAAGCAGGCAGAGTTGTTGCGAGCACGGCGGCGGTCGGTGGCGTGACAGCGGTGGCGATGTCACGCGCGCGCGACGCCAGCCACGGCGTTGCCAGCGCTGCACGGCTGGCCGGCAAAGAGCGCAGGCGCAATGAGCGCGCGGCCCATGGCGGGCCACTGGCTGCCCATGACCGGCGAACACGAACCACACGGGCCGCGCTCGCCTGACCAGTGCTGCAACGTCGCGGCGCGTGGCGGTGCCGTGCTTTTTCCGTGCCGAAGCGTTCCCCTGCCACCACGAAGCCGCCGGTAAATTGGCCCCGCGTGTGTTTCGTGCAGGGCGTGCATGGCTGCACAGCCCCTGGTGCGCTGGCGTGTGGCGCGCCACCTCCTCAAGCAAGCACTCCACGCCTCGCGCGTGCGCCCAGACGCCAGCACCAGGACGCGCAGCTCTTTCGTGCTCCGAGGTGGGGCTGTGCGGCGAATGAGGCAGCGGACAGCACGTGGGCGTTGGCGCCGCCGAAGCCGAACGAGTTGACCGCCACCAGCCCTCCCTGCCAGGGAGTCGCCTCCGTCACAACCTGGGCAGAAGGCGAGACTTTGCAATTTAAAATTTATGATTTTTTTCTATCAACTCGTACTGCTATCATTAATATACCTATGCCACTCACTTGAGATATTTTTAACTTTCTCTACATATTAATATATCTTGATTCTTATTGTGTAAATGAAATTGTTAAGTAAAAAATAAGTCACAAAATGCACACTTTTGGAGAAAAATGATTTACAATACTACATATACAACATATCACTTCCCCTGAGACAACTCCATCCAACGCACGGTTTAGAAACGATTTAGTTTGTTGAAATTTAATGTTCATGAGATGTAGTGAGTAAATTCTAATCCATCTCCAAATATTTACTTTCTCTTACACTAATTCCATAGTATAGAGAAGGTAATTGTGACGTACTAAACGGCAATATTGTCGATAGAAAAATCCTTTGGAACCTGATACCAAAAGGTGAATAATTCTTGGTGGACATTGGGATGCGCCTCCACGATGCCTAGCGGCCTTGCCACGGGCTCCCGCCCGCTCGCCAGCCAGACCGGGCCGCTTCACGTAGTCAGATCCCGGACTGAACCTTACTCATCGACCCCGGCCGACGTACCATTCCACGGCGTTCCATCACGCGCTGCGCCTCCCAACTTGACCCCTCCCGATGTTTATGTGGCCTTCCCATTTTCTGGCTGTTTCAGCCACTCGTACCTTTCCCCACCCATATATACACGCAAGCGCTGACCATTCCGGTGCAGACCAGCCCTGAGGAAGACCACGATAAGAGGGCCGGAGAAAAGACCGCAACACAGCCTTCGAAGAGGCGTCACCCGGACAGTCAAGATCATTCACATGAATCCGGCCGAGGAAACCTATGACTTCACTTAACGCTGGTCCGTGCATCGGCGGCACAGTTTGCGGCTGCGGTGGTTGCGCCTCGGCCCGCCAGTTCTGGGTTCGCGGTCGGGCACACTCAGTCATGGCCCGTGGCGTACGTCCTGAGTTAGCGACCCCAGAGGCGGCCCGCGATGTGGCGATGATGCACTCGGGCGGTGGCGATGAGGTAATGCTTCCACTGGTGGGCCCCCGTAAGCCAAAGAAAGACGCTCTCGACCCTACCTCGGAAAGGCTTTTCTACTCTCTGTCGTCTCCTCTTATCGGAATGAACGAGTTTGCGTGTCCCAGCTGCTTTCTCGTTTTCGCGGGTCACATGGCCCTCCCCCTCTTCTTTTTCCGCGATTGGCGGGCGCGCGTCATGCGGTTTCTTCTGCCCAATCGCGGTGTAATTGATAGCCGTCCAAGTGTCGCCAAATGTTGAAACACAAACGTACGAAGAACAGGTGCTGCTGAATGGCCGGGTTAGGATACAGCGGTGTCCGTATTTCCCTGTGAATTAGCGGATGTGGGCGGAGCGTGCCTGTGCCGAGACAATAGAGCTGCATGGCTCTGCTTCCCATTATCATTCCTTGTTTTCTCCGCCCCGCCCCATATTTACCCATATTATTCTTTCCTTTCCGCGCATCCAATCCTATTCGAGCATTCCAGGCTCCCATCATCTCCACATGATCATTCGTCCCTTGTGTTTGTTCTATTACTCTCTGAAGTTTGGAATAAAATATTTCCTTTTCTATATTATCTTTGGCTTCGGGTGGTAAATATATACTCACCAGTGCAACTCTTTCCTTTAATTGTATGTTCACTTTCATAATTCTTGCACTCACTGGTTGTTGAGACATTGCCAGCCAAATTACTTCGAATTTGGCGCCTAGTCTTCTTTAACAGGGCGTTTGATGTTCTTTGAAGATGTTTCAAAGGAAAAGATTATACATTTTAAACTTGGCGCCTTCGAGATTAATTTTCTCCAAAAAGCCGCGCGAATTCCTTCTCTGCCGACCAAACATTCATTTCTTCATGCAAAGTCTTTGGAGTTGATGATCAACTTCTTTCTATTAGTTCGGAGCGTAACCGAAAGATCGCACCAGCTCCTTGGATGGGTAAAAATTTCCGCTAAAATTGGCATTGTCGAAATGAGTTTTCTATCGCAGACGCCGGCTCGCCTTGTTACGACAAGCTAATGCGGAAAGCTGAGTAAAAGCGTTTTGAACGTCTTTAAGGTTCGACCCAGAGTGTGCCAGGCACTGGATGTAGTAGAAACACGTAGCTAAAGATCACGGATTCTAGTAAAGAGTCAGTTTTCGTTTGGACAGAGGTAACTGTGACAACTACTTCAATATTCGTTAATTCTTTCTCCAAGCAACAATCCTTGTCAATTGTGTGTCATCTTTTTTTCCAGAACACTCTTGTCTGAGAAAAACAACTGTAATGGAAGAGGCGATGTTCAATTGCCATTTCCATCAACAATGCTCTCCCAACCTTTCTTCAACTATTTCGCCGCCTGAACACTGGTTCTCAATTTATCACTCTCTTATTAATTTCCGGGTTCACGATACCTACTCCCCCAACAGCCGTTGTTTTAATATTCACGCCGCTATATCTCATTACATATCCTTTATGCAATTCCACCTCTCCTGCTCCCTTCTTTTTAACTTTACTAATCTCCCAAATCTTCAAATCGTACTTTTCCATCTCTTCTAGTACTTCCACTTATTTTCCTGTTATTGATGTAATATTCCATATGCCTATATTCATGTGCAATTCCTGGGCATCCAATTGCGCGGTCCTCCAAGTTGTCTTTCTTGTCCGGGGCTGTTTAAGTTTCTGTGAATCCGCTATAAGAGTGATTGGGGATGGGCCCTACGTCACTCTGCCCAATCGGGATCCCTATCTTCACTGCAAGGCAGCTGGTTGGTTTTCTGTCAGGGTTTCCTTCCCTTATCTTAATGCTCCCGTGTTCAGGCGCCGGAGACTCGCCCTCGCCCTGTTCTCATTAGCTGCTCTCCAAGCTCTCACCTCAGAGAGGACCAGGGGCCGCCTCTGGGAGGAGAGAGCAGGACTTGCTTTTCACCCAAATCGGGTATTCCCAGTACATATGGGCATTACTCGTGTTTACTTGCGAGCACAGATGACCCCCCGCCAGGTTCAAGACAGCCATTTGACCACGAAAAGACTTCGAAACCCAAAACCAGTTGTTTGCCAAAACGTTTGTGCGTGTATTAGTTTGTCATTCGGCAAAGAATTAACATTCTGGGTTAAACACTGAAAACAAGGCACTAACTCCTAAGCTATAAATGCTATTTTCATTAAATGTTTTGAGGAACGATGAATATTTCATTTATTTCTTACGGGTCTTATGTATATTGGAGATATCTATCTTAATGTAGTGGTTTAACACCTTCGTGTAAAAGTTTTGAATATGTTTTTTTTTATTTCTGAATATTTTGCTTCATACTTGGTAGCCCCAAGCCGCCACGTCATTACATAGAGATTATTATAACAAGGGACCACTTTGTTAGCTTCTGCTTGGCCATTTCTGGCAATATAACTGCAAGTTACGACCATTCACTCATTTTGTCAGTGCGTTCGTTTACAGTTAGCTCGTTTGAAAGTGGCTCTACCACTATCTCGTGCATGGTCGTCGCCCTGCACGACGTTAATTTTCTTTCCTGACCTTCCAAACTGCACCCTTCTTAGAATAATTCCTCTATAGTGTGTGGAAGGAATGTAGATAGCGCCGCGATGAACTGTGTAGTTTAACGTTGCTCGTCCCAACGATTTGGTCGCACGGTGTGATGCCCGAATTCGTGTGATTCCCAATCGGCCAGCCCTCATCTAGGGACATTGAGAGCCCACCGGTACATTCATATGACCGTAAGTCTGATGTGAACGCTCAATTCCCCCTTCCTACAGAAAATTTGTCCCCACATTGCTGAAATATCGAATTCTTGCCTGAAAGCCGTGCAAACTCTGCCTTGGCCAACCGCTTCGCCACATCTATCCCTTATATAAAACGCGTGGGATGCATGCGAGGTTTATTTTTCGTCCACTACAAAATCTGTAGGAACTGGTGTTAACATTTGTGTTGGGTGGCACAGACCACAATAACTCCATGCCGAAACGCGTAGCGGACATACAGCGACCAAACTTCATACATAATTATACTTTTTTGTTACGCATTAGTGCTCATACCTTTTCATTGTTTATTGATCTTTGCGACCTTTACCTTTATGCTTAAGGCCGTTACTTGGAAAACCTATAAGTGCACATTTTTTATCAAGAATGTGTGTAGAAACTTTCTAAACAAGATTAAAAAAACAAACTAGAGTGCTAGGGCACAGAGTTTGTTATTATCGGGTTTAGCAAGTCATAATACTGAAGGCTACTTGGTGTTCATAATTTTCTATTACATTATGAAAGAAAGTATAAAACTAGTCACTTAATGTGTAAAATGGTAATTTAGTGGCGATGTAGACATTGCAAATGTAAAAGCGTACTCTACTGTTTGTGTTTTATGTAAAACTTACCTTAATTCTTCCCGCCGTAAGCGCTGTTATCCCACGACGTGGCCGCTTGTGATTTATAGTGGGTGGTATGACTCCACTCTCCATTGCTAAGATTATTTTGGTGACACTGATCAGCCCCGAAACAGGTTCCGTGTGGCCCACGTTTGCCTTGATACTTCCGACAAGTAGTGAGTCTTTTCGGCTCGTCTCCAAGCAGAAAGCTTTGTCAATTGCTGATAATTCTACCGGATCGCCAACCTACAAACAATTCAAACAATAAGAAATGTTCTGAATCTACTTTAGGCTTGATATTTATTTCATAAACATGAGATAGGAACGAAATTCTCTGAATTTTTTCTCATTCTAAAGTATGCGTTGAAATTGCTGGTATACTCCTGTTCATAATTATTTTTAAAGTTTTTTTTAATTATTCACATCTCTTGTTTCCATATACTTCCATCTCAGTGACTGAATGAATAAGGAAACAAGGAAGTATGATATTTGCTAGTCAGTGAGATATTCCTCGCCCAGGATGAAAATAGTGCCCATGATTATCAGAAAGAGCTGATTCACCTCTTTCGCTCAGATAAGTTCGCCTCCTAGATAAAACACTGTTTTCACTCAGTTGACGGAGGAAAATCTTGTACTTGAACTCTAAAAGTCTATAAGTAATCTTCTCAAAGAAGTAATTTGGCGTTCTTGTCACAAGGGATTCATGTAAAGTACCACCATAAGTTAATGAATGCTTTTCAAAATCGCACAGGTTATTGACAGCAAAATTAAATTTGGAAAACATCGTACGAATAGTTTAGGCGCTATTATTGTTCACATACACCAGACAGACGGACGTTTTGCCTTTAATAGTTTTTTCGGTATCAAGGATCCACAAACAGGGATTCTGGCTACACCACGTGCTAAAGGATTTTTTCAAAATTTACCACTTGGATTTTTCTGCTGTTTCGTTACAAAGGCTCTGTAAAAGTGTTTGTTGTTGTTTTTGCCGAAAATTCGCCGTTTTTGTCGCTCAGCATTACATAACTTTCTCTCTACTGAGTAAGCTGTAAAAGTAAAAAACTCATGCAAAATTGAGCGCCTTCTTTGTAGCCATTTACTTTCTATCTTAACATATTTTGTATATTGATAAAGCTACATTGTTGGCCTTCTTATATTATACTTTGAATAAAATTAAATTGTTTACTTAACTGCGTCATCACTGACTACACGAACGCCCGCCGCTCGTGCTTCGCCAAATTCCAGAAAATTACCATCCTTCAGCATCGGCCATCAATTCCATCATTATTTCTTCTACACACCTATTAAATGAACACTTTCGCTTTCGACACCATATAGAAAATACAACATTGGCGACAGACGGGCATAAAAAATGTCGCCTCGCCGCCGAGTCGACCGTGCCATCTGTCCCGTCTATCCTCCGTCTGGCGTTGCTCCCACCAAGCCTAAGAAACAACTGCCATCGTTTTCGGTTCGTCAATTATAATAACTGTTATTTCATTTAATGTTTTCTTCAGTGGTATTCAATCTCACTCCTCTCCATTGTTATTTTGGATTTTTTCCCGTGGTTTCGTTGGCATTTCAGTAATTTTTAATCCCCTTCTATTTATGTCACTGCTATCTCTTACATCATGTACTTTTACCTTGATTTGTTCAACTGTTTTGCGAAAAATATTATTTCCTCCAATTTCTGCCAAAACTTAACATTCTGTAAATGTTTATTCTTATAAAAATACATCTCTTTATTAGTTTACCGTGGTATGTCAGTTGTTTTTCACAGTTCTTTAGATACGACGAACTACAAATAAATATCACTTTTTCCTATTTCCTGGACTTGTTTTTCGTGAACATATTTCCGGTATCATTAAAAATAAAATTAAAGTTCTGACTCACCCTTATGGATCGACACAACATACGCTATTATCGTTTAACAAACCATATGTCTGCATTAAAGACTATTGTAATTATTCAAGATCAATACTGTTAGAAACTTCGTTCTTTTAGGTATTACTAAGTTTAAATATATTTTGTTTACTGAATGCTTATTCACGATATGGAAGTTGACGACATAAAGCTTGATCACACAGTTGATATCAATGCTCGCTGCGAGCTTGTACCTTCACCTGTTTATGTACCAGAGAAGGAGAATGGAGATCACCGGTCAAGAAAAGTTGCGCAGGTAGTACCTGAAGTTCAAAAGCTAACTACCGAGAGAAACACCGAATTTCGCGGCACTCTCATGGCTAAGTGGATATCGGTGAAATACGTGAAAACAAATTACAGATAAATTTTATCTTGTGACATTCCCACTTTCTCCCTATCTACTCCCTACTATTAAACCTCCTAATTAATTATAAATTTGGCTAGCTCGATTATTATCATACTGGGCATAACGATATTTACAATCTCAGGGCGAATTCTTCTCCATGTTCTCCATTGTGGGGTGACCGCTTTACGAGGCTAGGCTGGTGATAATGTTAATTGATAATGGGAACTGAATACTCCAAGGTTTTGTATCCTAACGGTTAATTTTTAAATAATACAAATTAATTGATTAATATTTCAGTGGCAAGAACTACCAGCTGCAATTTGATTTTTTATTACTATTATTTTTTCTTTGTTTCTTAATTGATGTAAAATTTATTATTTTTCATATTCATTTCTCATACCTATGATTATCATCTCTACTTTATTCCTATTATTTGTGAAAAAAACGAACTTAATTTAACTGACTATAGTAATGACAGTCTTGTCCTTGAACATTAATATTTCTCAAAGTATTTACGGGGTTCTTAGTTTCTATACTTGTTTGATGGCATATTGCCTTGGTGATGAGTCGAGGAGAATTTCACTCCTGGTCCTACACATATATTTCCAAAACAATGTTTGGGGTCGTCCATCAACCACTTCTTGTAGTATTCCAGACTTCCCTATTACTTTGAAAATATCTAAACTGTCCGTTCTTTTCTTTACTTAATTACTTCTCAACGTAAATTCAATCATCTTGCGACCTTCTATTCGATTTCAAAACATTTTTGACTTTAAAGATAAACTTTTTTAAACTAAAGTTTTAAAACTTAAAACTTAAAACTAAAGTTTTTGCTGCGCGCGGTATGACACCGTTCCTCGTCAGTTAAGTCACGTTCTCTCTTAACATTCGTTCTGGCAACACGTTTAACTATTCTCTTGTTTAGCTATTAATTGCTGTATTCTTAATTCTGTGCTATTCTATTTGCATCCAGCTGCACATTTAAGTACTTTTGTCTACCTAACAACGTATTACGTAAATCTATTTTCTTTAATAAAACATTTTTCTAAAATTTAAAATATCTTACCCAAATGCATTTTTCGAATTCTCAAGTCTCCAATGTCTCACTTACGTCTATATTTCGTCGTATTTAATTTCTAATGGCACTACGTCGACGTATTTTAAATATATTTTCAAAATATTTCGAGATGTATTTTGACCCCTCTTAATCATTTCTCATCTCATTGTTTCATATCAGGTAAACATATAAGACACATAAAGACGTTTTTCAGTAATTTCAAGATAAAGTAGGATAATTCCCGTTTTTACGAGGTTTTTGCATGTGGTGGGAGAAATAAAAGCTTAATGACATGCTACAGGTAATTTTATCTTTTGTTATTTGGTATTGGATCATTATTTACAAACAAAAAAAGGCTTTTGTGTTTTACTGAGAAAAAAAAGTGTTTTCAAGCAAATTTCTTGTTGGCAAACCTGATATTCGTGTTCTGCAGCAAAAAATACAGAAAACAAATATCAAAACTTTACTCCATTTACTCTTTTCGAGCACACGCTGAATCGCCTAGTTAGAAACTCTCAAGAAACAATTTGAACCTAATCAGCGTTGAACCCAAAACATTTCCTCGTGAACAAAATAATTTTTTTTTTGAGGCGTTACTTATATCGTGATATGTAGATTATTACATCAAAATAACGCAGTTAATGAAAGCGTTTCAAATTTCGAATACACATGAGTTTATTAAACTTTTATCATTAATTTAATCATTAATTTCAGAACTTAACTTCTATGGATATCTACTAAACTACAATATGAATTAGGAAAGAAAATGTTCACTAACCCTGGTGCCAGTACCATGTGTTTCTATATAAACAACACTGCCCGGGTCCACGCCGGCGTCTCGGCACGTGTCGCGCATCAGCTCGGCCTGCGCCTGCCCCGAAGGGTACGTGATGCCCTGCTCCTTGAAGCCGTCGCAGTTGACGGCCGCGTTCACCACAGTGGCGTACACGCGGCGGGCGTCCTTGGCGCGCTGCAGGAACACTGCGGCGATCGCCTCCGCACGCACGTACCCGTTCGCTGCGCACACACGCGAAACAAAACAGTTTAATAGGATTACCTTGCAATGTATATGTGTTTATCTCTGTTTCTCTCACACACATTCTGTTTGTATCTTTCTCCGATTGAGCTACACCTCAGCTCTCGTCCAAGCCTTTTGGCTTTGACTACATTTATCGCAGAAAAGAAAAAATAGTATTTAAAAACGAATCCCTAACAAAAAAATAATCGCATTCAGCTTTGTAAAGATATACACAGTAATATGTTGGAAATGGGTGATTAACTCTAGTATCGTACTATGAGCGCCATTTCATTATAGTAGTCTGCTTTTTAATTGAAATTAGGCAGCAACACTTGCAGTTTTAGTTAGCAGCAGGGTATTAACGACTGCAACATCAGTTATCCACATGTGATCATGGAGATACTACCCTTTGTCTACGAGCAATTGTAACCGTGAACTAGAATGAGTAGAACCGTGAACTAGAACCGAAATGTAGGAAGCTCAAGAATATCCTCCTGCTGAAGACCTACGTTTTTAACTGCAACCCTTTGTGTGGATGCCTTTGCCTGACATGCTGAACAGTATCACGAATCGTGCAAAGTTGCAAATAATAGTGCCAATTACAAATGCCACATGCAACGACTACTTTCTGTACTAAGTTACGTAAACCGTTTTTTCTAATTGCATTCAATAGTATTGTCATTTGATGTCTACAACTCATTGCATTATGATTCTCTTTACGATACAGGTTCTTGGCCAATCACAGAGAATTTTGCAAACAAAGTATTGACAGTTAATCATTGAGAATCGTTCTAGTAAATGTTTCGTTCAATTGTGTGTATTAAGATTGCATTTAATATTATATTATTCTTGGTTGTTTTAATTTCTTATATTATTCGTAATTTTGGACGTGTAATATTATTTAATGTAAATCGGATTGTAATTTCACTTTGATACTATTTAACGAGCGTAGTGGTAGTTATTGGAGGGGTCATTTGACTGATGTTAAGAACAGAAAAAGTTTTGTGTTGTATGTTGTTGACGAGTGGTCGTTCTTGGAGGTCTTGGCTGAATTCTGTTGTCAACTACCACGAAAAGATTCAATGTAAAAGTTTAACTTATAAAAGTTACCATAAGTTGTAGAATAAGTACCGTATAAAATTCAGTGTAATGGGTCATACACTCTTGTAAAGTTTAAGATACTTTCTCTATCGTAATATCACACCCGTGTGTTAATACCTGTCATAACATCATTTCATAATGTACTATTTTTTATTTGAACATATTATGTTTCTTAACGTCTTATTACAATTGTTACTTACGTGTTTATATTACTTTTTTTAATGTACATTTAGTTGCATGCTCTATTATTTGCAATAAAACTTTTGATTTACAATAAAACTCGAGGCAAAGCGCTATCGCTAACGTGTTAATGCTGAGGAGTAAACGTGTTTTTGCTCTAACACGAAAAGGCATCACGTAAAAGGACTACTGCTTAGCTTATCAGCCGTACCGATTATGTTCTGTCTATTTATTTATTTAACGTCAAAAGCAGTTAAAAACTGTGTGTGATATTTGCTATGGAGTGAAGTGTATTTGAAAAGAAAATTTGCTCCAGTTTAATAAAAATTATTTGAAAAGGCAAATCGGCTACCAAGTTCGGTTATTATCCTTCTTCGTGCCCTTCTTGAAGGAATCGTGGAGAACTTCCTGCTGTGACCACTGAAGTACGATAATTTAAATAACTATATTATCTACAGGACTCTAAAAGACCTGCCAGATAGTGGAGTTATATGTAGTTCCAGAAGCAACACAAGGGGCCATCTAAGCATTCGCTCGAAGAATCGGGAAAACAAGACGACAAAACTGACCGAAGGGAGGGGGGGAATGACCCAGAAGATGAGGCATAATACTTGTTACAATTGTTTAGAATTATACGCTTCAAATAGTCTTTAATGTATTCAGAATCATTGTTAAAATTATTATTAGTTTATTTTTCGACGTATAATGGTCATTAATTGTATGTTACCGGTAAAGCAGCAGAAAAAAAATTACTTGCCTCTTAAACGAATTTATCGAATTTAATTCTTTAATGCCATTTGGCAATGAGTTGCAAAATAATGTTTATATATTGTAAGTGACTTTTTGTAGTGGTCTGTTGATACTGACATCAGATAAAGATGGTTACTACGCGGAGATTTATAGTTATAGACTTCGGTATTAGCTGAAAATGTATTTCAACCCTGGGATAATGACTTTTGACAAAACACCCCGATTCGTAAATCAAGAGGCAAGGTAAAGGTAAAATTCCAAGATTAATAAAGAGATGCTTACAAGAATCACGTGGGCGAGATTTGCTTGCAATTCTTTTTTTGTAATCTAAAATCTGGGAGCTATCTTTTGTAATCTGTAAAATCTGGGAGCTATACGAAGTGTTTCCGCCAAATACTATGTCATATCTCAAGTGGGAATGAAAATTCTAGGAATATTCACAACGAGCAGAGCGGAGGCTGACCGAATTGGAAAAATTCTGAACGCGTATTATAATGAATTTAATTTTGTGGTCAATTTGCTTCCAGGTCACTTTATATAGTCTAATGTTATAAGGTCCAATTCAATTTGTTCCCAGACATTTCGCCCACTTCTTATCCATAAATAGTTTGTTCACAGTATCTCTCTGTCTCTCTCTGTATATACATATATATATATATATATATAGTATATATACGAACGCGGAGGTGTAGGTTCGTCCCACATGACCACACGTCATATGACACCTATGGCAGAACAGGTGCGCGAGCGCAGTGCGGTTCAAATAGGGCGCGCCCGCCGCGGCGCGCCGACGATGAGACGATTGCTTGCTGTGACCGCTAGATAGCGCACGAAATACGTGAACTCAGCCGGAGAAAGGTTAGACGTCGCGCCACCCCTCACAAGGAAGGGAGGGAACATATATATACGCGGAGCCGCAAGCGGGAGGTGTTTTTTCGTTCCCGATTGCCGAGCCAGCAGCTCTTTGATCACTTCTCGCCGAGCCAACACTTTCGATATCATTCGCCTTAGATATTGTCCGCCGCAGCAACGACTATTAGATAGGAGTATTCGACGTCGAACAGTCGTGCTAGTCAGTCGCCCGTGAGATAGTGTAGATTCAGAAAAAGTATTTCTTCAATTAACGACACGGGAAGTAAAAGTTACCCGTTGTTAGAAACGCAGTAAAAGCTGAAGTTTAGTAAAGTAGAATCAGCAGCGAGCGTAGTCGAGGAGGAAGAAGAGCACGAGGAACCGGGCCTACAAAGAAGAAGAGGATGGAATCGGGCGTAGGAGACACAAGAGGAAGAAGACCGGAAGAGGACGCAAGTAGGTCAAGTTCACGTCGGCAGGGCAGAATTACAGAAGAGTGCGAGGGAAGTGAGGACACGGGTGGCAACAAATTCCAATTTAATAGCCAAAGCCATTTTGAAGCACTATTATCCACATAAAATATTGTAAATAGGACATGTTTATTTGTTATTTTCAGCCACAGCTAACATCGCAAAGACAGTGGTGCACTGGCACACATTTTTGCATGTGATATTTTGTGAAGGAGATAGTAAATTGTATTTTTTTGGTTTCGTGAGCAGTGTAAATAAGAATAGCCCAGATTTAGATACATTCACTTTCAAAGGAAATTCCCAGTAGATATTAGGGCAATCATCTGTGAGTCAAATTTTGTGTGTTTACTGTTTCATGTGTGTGTGATTTGTGGCGTGTGACGAAGTGGGTTTTGAGGCAATTAAACTGTTTATGTGTTCTTGTTTGGATTGGCTCTCAACACCCAAAAGTTCCCTCTGCCCTGTGATTTCTTTTCAGCTCGCAAGAGCAGATATCTGCGGACTGCCCCAACGAACAACAATTTGGGAAGTTATAAATTGTTTAAAGTAAGGGGGGTTATATATATAATTATATATTAAATATTATTATATGTATAAGTATTATTATATATATTAAATTTAAATAATTTAAGCAATTTAAATAATTTACCATGTTGTGGTTTTCGCGATAATGAAATGAAATTATTCTGGGACTGGAAACTTAACTCTGTTCGTCTAAAAACAAAGTTACAAGTATCAGCTCCATTCTTTCTTCAGAAATGGAAAAATCTTATTGGCGTTCTGTAAATCGAGATATCTGCAATGCCCGTCTCGAAACAAAAATAAATAATCATATTCATATATGTAAAGAAGATCAGCACACTCATGTGAAAAATGGATCTGAAGTTCATTCATAGAGAGTGGTGGCAGGAATTAAAAGAAGGGCAGATCATCCGAATGAACCTCCTGCATGCGTAATAAGAGAATTCAGGGTATAGAAATCAGGAAGTACTGCTGCATTTACCGGAAACTTCTGTCGGCACATTGACCGCCAAATTACTTCAAATTTGGCGCCTTGTTTTTTAATAGAGCACTTTTGATGTTTTTTGAAGGCGTTTCAGAGGATCATACATTTCAAACTTGGGGCTTTCGAGATAGCTTTAATTTTACATAAAAAACCGCGCGAATTTCTTCCCTGTTGACCAGATACTCATTTCTTTCGTACAAAGTTCCTTGACGTAGATTGTCAACTGCTTCCTGTTAGTTCGGAGCGTCACCGAAAGATCGCGTCAGCTCCTGGGCAGCCCCGCGTAAAATTATCATTGTCAAAATACGGGGAACTCACCGATTTTTACCTCACACACCAGCTCGCATTGTCATCAGAGATGAAGTGCAAAAAGCTTAGTAAAAACGTGTTGGACGCTTTCAAGGTTCGATTCAGGGTATGCCAGGCATTTTGATGTAGTCGTAACATGAAGTAAAAACGACGAAATTCGTAAAGAAACCTTTGATTTCGTCTGGACAGAGGTAACTGCGACAATCTCTTTAATACTCGTTAATCCTTTCTCCAAGTAACAATCCTTGTCAATTGTGTGTCGTCTCTTTTCCAGACCACTCTTGTCTGATAAAAAACTACTGATGAAAGAGACGATGTTTCATTACTGCTTTTTCTAATTGCCATCCCAACTATTTCTACGAGTATTTCACAGCCTCAACACTTCCTTATTACGTAGTGTGAACCGATTACAGTATGTAGATAGGTCTGCACTGCCTTTAGGCACAAGAGTGTACAGTAATACAATGTTAGCTTAAGCGGAGAAGCAGTTTTACAGCTCGACAGCAGATACGATAATGACAAAACACTTATTTTTTATATAAATGATTGGTTGAACTATTTATGTGTAAGCAGGACAATTTTTTGTGGCAGAACGTTTAAGTGTTCCAAGGTTATTTTATCACTTGTACACTATACATGGAAAAACATACGATTTCGTTTTTCCATTAATGTACGGTTTGCGTACCAGAAAATATAAAGTAACCTATATATTAATCTTTGAACATCTTAAGAATGCAGCTGAAGCATTGAACAAAGATGTCTCATGCCTTTGTAAAGTTGGTCTTCGAAATGAGTGCTATTACGAGTCGTATTACCTAGCAGCACGATTTGTGAATCCCTTCTTCGCAAGCTATTTGGCGGCAAGTTGTAAACTTAAGACTAAAGATACGTTTCACCGAAGATGACATAAGAAATGACGTTCTGTGGCTGATGGACCTTCTATTCATACCTCTCGACAACATGGAAGAGGTGATTGATTATTTGTTAGAAATAGGCCACGACAATTTATAAAATCATTTGGCGCACTTTGAAACAACGTATCTGAGGGGGCGACCTGTAAGTAGGAGAGCAAGGCCGTCTCGATTCCCTTCGCAATCATGGAATGTATATGAGCGGGTGTTTACTGGAGCAGACAGAACAAATACTTTTGTAGGGGGCTGGCACTCGAAATTTCTGTCGCTGATCGTGACACATGCAAAAATATGGAAATTTTTAGACTATATAAAAAATCAAGGAAACTATGAAATCCTTTTACTACAACTTGCTGACGGTCATAGGCAAATGAAATATCTCGTTAGAATTCGTATACTATAAATCAACGTGAAATGGAAAATATTATAGACCAAAATATTATTAACAATATGCCGAAAATAATAATATAGATTTATATTTGCGTGGCATTAGCTACAGAATGAAACTGTGTAATGCTGAAGAGAGCGATAGAGAAGCATCAAATATTTAATTTTATAATTTTGTAACTCTATAAAATATGTATATATTTTACAATATACTATAATTATGGATTAAAAATATATAAAATGGGCACAATAATAGTGGACATTTCAATGTGATGCACGTCAATGCTCAGTGGACCATTCATATAGTGGACATAAAAAAGTGGACGAAATTTGTATAGACATCCCATGTTTCTAGACTAAAATTCGAAGTAAACTAAAATACATAGTGGGCGTAAATAATTTGGACGAAATATTTCTGAACAATGTGTCTGGAAATTGGTCAATTCGTAAAAAATGGATGTTGCATTGGAAGTTCGACTAAATTGACAGACCCCAAAAGTGTGTTACCTTAACATCTGATAATTGCACATCGTTCTTTTTCAATGGAGTATGTGTTTACTTGTAAAGAAAAACTACTTTGAATCAGTTTTTTCGTTTACTATTAATTTCTTAGGGAACCAATTTGAAACATTGATAATGTACTATTTACGGTTCCTTTACTGCAAAGAATATTCGTATCCACATAGAGAATTGTTCAGCCGCCTCGAATCCCCGAGGGTATATCGTTTTCGTGTAGTGGAAACAGAATTGGACCTAATATCGAACCCTGAGGAATTCCTTATGCAATTGAAATTGAATCGGCAAGGTGTGTATAAAGTGCCCTATAATTCCTATTCGGTATTTGTACTCTTGAGATCGTTGTTTAAGATACGAAGATAATCAATGTAGAGTAATACCACGAATTCCATATTAATACAGTTTTGAAAGTAAAAGTGCTATGACGAATGACGTCAAAAGCTTTTGAAAGATCTAAAAATATTCCAATAGGTGCTTCATTTTCATCAATGGATGAAGCGATATTTTTAAGAACAGAAAACATTAAACCCTCTAGAATTTCAGTAATTACAATATATTTTTCGAAATAGTCCAACACCTTCAATATTGAGGCCAATATTGTCTTGTCACCGTCGATATTGTATTATAATGTTCCTCAGATAAATAGTTATATCGTCGAACTTTTAATTTTTTATAAGGTACTCCCACTGACTTCCCGAATGAGACAAAATAATACTCACAGTCTTCATCAAATGGGCTGCACTTCGCCGTCTTCGACAGCACGCCTAATTGCATGAACTGGAGAGAAACGTGGGGATGTAACAAAAGGTTTGTGCCGCCCACCAACGCGTAGTCCACTTCGCCAGTAGATAAGGCTTCGTACGCCTGCTTGAAACTGAACAAAGCGGAGCTGCATGCTGTGTCTGTTGTATAGCTCGGTCCTGAAAGCGAGAAAGAAAAGTTTCAAAATAATGTTGTTAAGGACTGACATGTAATCCACGACGCTGACGTTGGCTATAGTGGTGGAGTTGATAGAGATATATATTCACATGTTACTTTGTTATATACACCAGTTTTTTAGTTCCGTTCGACCTTGCGGTTCGAGCAAGAGCCAGGCAGTTCCTATCCTTCCCCGTCGGCGACTCGACGGCCTTCTTAGAAGTTGTGTCATTCATGATCGGCGGGAGAGCCTACATTGCGAGTCCATGTCGATGGGCTTTCATCGAAAAGTTTGATAATTTTGAAAAAGACATGTTTCTGCTTTTGAAAGTATATTGCCACGAAATCGCCGCCTCTTACGCGTCTTCGAAAAAGGTGGATCACCTTACCTTTCAGTTAGCTAGCAAGGTGGCCTGAAAACAAGGGATGGCGGACGGACTTCGTTTTGATTAAAGATTTTAGAAATGATGTTAACATTAAGTTTAATAATTCAAACAAGAAAATTATAAATAATAATGTTTATAATAAGCCTACTACGAGTTCGTTGGATTTTCCCCACAAAAGGCAAAAGACTAAACAAATTCTTATGTTTAAAAAATACAAAATTTTCCGCAGATTCATTCTTAGGAGCCAAAGCGCGACTAAGAATATTTCGTTTCTTTCAAAGAACAGCACTTGACTTCAAAAGTCCATTTATGTAGACGCCTGAAGGGCAGTTGAGAGCTTATAGCCAAACTCTTACAAACACGTCACAGGTAGCAGCTGTATCTATTGATCCGCTGGGTGAATGGTTTGCCTCGCTGCAAGGCCTCAGGCGACGGCCGCTTGGAGGCCGCAGGGGTCGAAGAATCTTCAAAGCAGGTGCTCAAAGTTTTGCTGAGCCGGCCCGGTCAACCCCCCCAGACAATGATAATCTGGTTTTGATAACAGGCGGCTGTCGCTGCGGTTCCCTGAGTCGTTTCCGCGTGATGAAGTCAAATACTGGTAGCAGATCTTGTTGATTTTGAGATTATTTCGTGTTTCTGAGCGCATGAACTACTATGATTATTAGTTCCGTATGTACTGTTATACTTCGACAGGTGGCGGTGTTCCTCCCTCGAAAGATACAGCGTTTGTCTATCGACATCGACATTAGAGTGATTTCCCCTTCCAAATACTCTCGTTGCCACCGGAATTCATACTTCAATATAATACACTACAAGAGTGAGGGTAAGGACTCCGGAGCTCGAGAAAAAAATGCACAGAATTCACTTCTCACATTCTTCACACAGTTTTAACTGTTATTTAACATTAAATAAATAAACTTGTCCATATTAAGTGTGATTTAATAGCACATTCTTTTGCAAATAAAATTTTAACAAACTTAGGACCACTAGTGTATACGCGAGCGATTAAATCGCACGGAACTTTTAAAGCCGAATCCTTTTACTTGTCCAGAACTTTATTTATTGCCCGGTTATTTATCACAGTCAATACCATGAATGCTTTCGAAATTCTCGATAAATCCCCAACTCGTGAAGCGAGGAGGGAATTTATCTGAGAATTTCCAGAGCACGAATGATAGTTGAGAGGAAAATTGCACAACTGAAATTATTCCACCAGAGTTCCAAAATGCGCCAAATGCTGAAAAAACAAAACAAAACTGAAAGCATATTAAAATCAAAGAGGTTATGTTATAGTACATAAGCGGTTTATTGCACATGAATTCAGCAATCGATACATACTGCCTCCTTAGATTGATGAGTCGCAGTTGAATATTTGCCAGTAGGGAGGGGCGGTAAGAAAAATTGGATGGAAAAAGCGATAAATGTTTTGAGATACGCCCTTAGTAGAGCATTTCATATATGAAGTTAAACACTATTAGTTTTAATTAAATGAGTGGAATAGCTATATTAATCTCTTCAGAGAGGGAAAGAAATGCATTCTGTCTATACTGTATCATCTCCCTAGTTGGCCTGATGTGACCTGCCCTGCTATGCCTTAAAGTCAAATTGCCCAAACACACCCCGCTCCGGGCCACCGTCTTCTCCGTGGGGCTGGCCACGATACTACCCAAATTACCGCCTGGATGCGTATGATGCCGACATTAAAAACATTTTTTTTCACGTCAATACGTATAAAACATAAATAAAAATAGAAACTAAAAGTGCAGACATAGAGGACATCAACTTTGAAACAACACCTTATTAGCTATGATTAAGTTCATCCGGAAAAGGGATGTTTACATAACAGCTTTCAGAAATACTATTGTATATATGGTTATTCTTGTAGAGTACGTGTTTTTGGAACAATTCAGATGATCAGCGCAAAAGTGGGGTAATCCACATATTTTTAATTCGAACTTTACGTTTTAATCATGTAGTTTCGCGCTGCAAACATCTCAATTTGAGGTATTGCATGAATAAAATCCTATTATAAAAATAAACCTTTTAGCACTTGAGTATTTCAGTTACAGTTTGTGTAATAGTGAATTATGCTATGTTCCCCGGGCTTACGCACCTTCAGTCACTATTACCTGACACCTCTATACTAATTTTTGGAGAAAGATAGCTCCTTTTCCCAACTGAATAACACAATAATATTCGAGTTATATAATTATGTTGGTGATTTCTTGGAGTAAGAAAACAACTTGTAATTGAAAATTGTAAATCTTATAATTAAACATTTGGATAAAAAATATGACACTCGCAATCACCTGGAAGGCGAGAAAACGTATCACTCACCTTTCGCTCCGAGCCAGTAAGATATACGATTGGACAGCATAGCGCGACAGCAACCTGTTATTCCCATGCCAGAAACCTGAACCTTTTCATAGAACAGTGTCTTCTCTGCTTCAGAGAAGCAAGCGCCCACATACACACCCATTCTTTTTCCACGCAGCGTTTTTGGGTTTATTCCTGCAAGAAATAACATCGCTTTATTCACGTAACAGAAGGTACAGAATGTAATAAAACTTGATAGAACGCACAAGGATCGAACTTAGTGTTAACTTGGCATAAGATATCCCTATTTTTTTTCAAAATTACCCGAACAAAAATGGAAAATACGACGATTCCCTGAATTTGTTCCATGAATTTTCAGGATACAGTGGTGTGTTCTTTTCCCCAAAATTATTCATCCTGAATTTCTGATCATGTTTAAGTTAGCTGCTTATTATTTTGACAAGTTTTATAACATCAATAGAGTCTTGTTATCATTTTGCTTTCCTTTACACCAGTTTCGTTTCCGTATTTGTGATGATGGGGGATCGGACTTTTAGGTGTTGAAAACCAAAAAAATCAATACTATGTTTTAAAAGTGAAAAAATTGTGTTAAAACGACGAACATTTCATTGCCGATATGAAAACAGTTACCAAGATGAGCATATTTTGTCTATGCAATCTGAGGAAGTTTGGAAGCTACTCGCATTATGAGAGTATGTTATCACTCAGTGTGTTATGGTCTGAATCGACAGTAGTGACCCTTAGACATTTTGACAGATTGTGAACTAGATCCCCTCCACCCAATCGGGGAAGTCCCTCAGAAACATGTGATGCGTGACTAACGCCTGCGTTTGAAACTGACACCTCTTTTACCTTATATCGATTAACTCCACAGTATTAAACTTGAAAATACTCAAAATATACATTTAGTTATAAAAAAATAACGAAATAAGTAATATTATTTATTTTCACGTAAATATTTTTGTGAAACATAATCAACATATTTATTTTTAATTCATAAGCAATTTGGTATATGGAAACTATGGAGAAGTAGATAAATTTTCGCTTAACTTTCAACGCTCAGGATTAAGGGGGAAAATATGTATTTTCCTAAATGTTCGATCCCTAGCGAGATCCGTTTTGCCACTGATGTTGGGTTTCGCAAATGAAAGGGACCATTTGCTGGGCGTCTCACCCGCGTCCACAATGGCCTCATAGGCGCGCTCCAGCAGCAGCCGGCACTGGGGGTCCATGGCGTGCGCTTGCTTGAAGTGCACCCGGAAGAAGCTCGCGTCAAACTTCTCCAGGCGGTGCATTTTGCCGGTCCTCTTAGGCATCTCGGGGTGATCTGGAACAAATCATCGAAGTATTGATACCGATCTATCGATAATATCGTGCTATTAAATAAAAAAATGGAGGTTTGAACGAATAATTCTGTAAAATTAGCTTCGAAGCTCATCCCCAGTGGCAGCTGATGTCAAGTCCCAATCAGAACAAATACACGTGGCAAAAGACGATGACGTATTCCAGGAGGCGGAATTTGAGAGCAGATACGCAGCTGGGCCCTTGCCCTCTCTTTGCCTACTTCTTCTCTCGGTAACGTAGTGATAAGTGGGCAATCGTGCCTGCCCGTACTCACCAATATTCCAACGGCGCTCGTTGGTGGTGAGGAGGCATTCGCCGCGCTGCAGAGCGTCGTGCAGCGCCTGCATGTCGTCGCACTCGGGGAAGCGGCCTGCCACCCCCGAGATCACCACCTGCGTGCACCATACAGCCAAAGGCTCAATTGCGAACGGGCATTGCTCTATGAAATCCGGTTTTTCGATATGGGAAAGTATTCAAATTCAGTCATGTAGTTCAAGATGGGATTCAACCGTTTTCGAATACCGTTTAAAACGGAAGAAACGGCACTTTTAAAGACCCTACTTATCATAATGTGAGGTAAGCGTCTTAAAAATGCATTAATAACAGTAGCGTATATCTGAGATAACTACAGTAGTTGCGAAGCCCAAAGCCTGAAGAAGAAAAAGAGAAGAAAAAAATCTATAAAAATAGCTGGCAATTTGTTTATGTACTCTATGAATCTTGTGTCATTTATTTTAAACCATTGGTGATTAAGTAATGTTTTAAAAAATATTTGATAGTAATAATCAATTTCATAATAATACTTGATAGTAATAATCAAAATAATTTCTTAATAATTAATCAACGCTCAGATATTTTTTCCCTTATTATTTTCGAGAAAGTTGCCATTACATTCAGCGGTTCTTGAATAAAGATGTCGACGACAGAATACGTCACAACTTTCAACTGGTCGGTAGCAGATACTGTACAGATAACGCTTCCAGTGACGATTTATTGCATTTTCTGCGATACATTTTTATTTCTGTTACGCCGTTCAAGTGACCTCTTAGCTGTTCCTTTTCAGAATAGGAATTAATCTTCCTAAAACGAGCTTCATTCCTTGGTTTACAAAAACTCTTTTCTTTGAATTTTGTTCATGTGTTCGCAACCGTGGAAGAGTAACGGTGAAAATTATAGATGTTCACAGGATCATTATCTGCATCATTTTTTCGGTGCATCATTTATCTTCAATTAGATGTACTGCAGAGGCTTTCACGAAGTAAGCAAAAATTACCTACTACCAATATTTTGAATTCGTGATCTTTGGGTCGCTACAGAGTTGTGCACTATGTCGACTCTCTTATAGATTTATTCCACGACTTCAAGATTGTAGGCTGTGAATTATACACATTGTAAAATGGGCAATACATTAAAAATTTCTATCCACAGTCTTGTATTATCTTCGACCGCAAGAAAGTCTTTTCAGGGAAAGACTGAAAATAAAAGAACGTCGCAATCCTATGAGAACGAGTTTCGCAAGTGTGCTGACTGCTTAACCTGTGATAGAACGGTCGGGTCATTTTTTCGAAAACTGTGGAAGTACCGATAAGTGAAAATATTGCATAATCTATATTTTCGTAACAAGTCACCTCTAAGATGCTATTGATAAAAAATGTCATTAGTTCCATAATATAGACGTAATTGAAAAACACTTCGCGCTCAAAGTGAAACGATCTTGACACCATATACCTAGAACGTATTTAAGTAAAACTCCGAGTGTCCGGTTTCGTCACTCGCGGCTAGACCACTTCCCTTCACCAATCAAGATGTAAGAGATGTCATTCTATGCGTCCCGGTCTCCTGATGGGGAACTGGTAATTTGTTTTCAAATCCGGCCAGAAGGCAAATAACTTTTCAAAAACGTGATTTGGTGCTGCGATCTTAGTGATAATGCCAGGAATTAAACAAATGCTTCCTGAAAATAGCAATGTATGAGGAGTTGATTAAAAGAAGAAGTAGAATAAATTTTTCGTTGAATACGCCATAATATTCTTTTACAACGTGGGCAAAACTTATGTTAAGATCTTTAAGTGAACACTTGAATTAGCAAGTGAATCTCGCTGCAGATTTCAATTTTGATTCGAACTATTGTATTAAAAAAATGCGGAACCCAACGAACAGTATTGTCATCGAGCTTATTAAACTTGAAGAATTTCTAGTGAATACAGAGAAAACAAAACTCTAAGTAATGCTAGACAATGAGTGAACGTTCTTATGTTCGACTTCTCACTTTTAGGTTCTCACAAGCAAATACCTAGTTTCAAATGAATGTGATCCACAACGTATTCTTATTAAACTTACTAACATCTAATTCACATAAACATAGAAAACAGTCGCCTTTTAATGTTAGATTCTCATACAAGACGATTAATATAGCAATTGCAGAAGTAGAAGTGAACACAAATTAAACTGAGTTGGTAAAATTTTAATCTCTTCAAAAGTTGCTGGAGAAAAAATGTAGTTATAAAATATGTTGAGACAATTTTCGGAACTAATTGTGAATGTTCTGCATCTTTGTGTTTAGCATTTGTACTAATGCAAATATGCTATGGCATTTTTGTGCATATTAGCAAAAAAACGTAAAAAAGTAGCTATTTTAATAAAATTTAACTATTAGCATCATCAATACCTGCAAAAATTTCTTACGGCGATTATAATTTTGAAATTGCAATAAGACCAGTTATCACGGTATCACGCATGAAGTTAACGTACAAGGCCATTGGGTGTTGGGAACTTTTGAAATTGAATTGTCACATTATCAGCGACTACGATTCATGTATGCTGGGCGTGAAAGAAATTTTCAACACATAAAACGTTTTAAAACATTTTACTGCGTCGGCAACGCCCAATTTTACTAGTTGACTTTAATTTAGTATCGTAAGTTATGTTTACATCTTTTCCTTATGAACACTTTACTCAAATTAGCTTCTAACTTCACGTTTAACATTGAATCAAAGAAACTGCGTATTGTTGAAAAACATTTAATACAAATTCATGAAGTGCTGTCTGATTGATCGGAAGCTGCGCGATAATGATTTCATTAATTACAATCAATAAATATGAACATACAGGGTAAGTTTCTCTTTTAGTACATCGTGGCCAGAATGAGAGAGCTAAATCTTGAACTTATCACACGCCACTGATTGAACTGAGGGAGAAAACGGTGACGGAGATACGTTACTTTAGACATAAGTTCTTCTATTCAGTCTGAATTATTCTCTTAATCATCCACTACACGCTAGCGTATCTCAACTCCAAGCGCGCAGACAGAGTCCTTATGCCCTTGGACAAGAAGTAGGGCTAGGAACCACCTGTGAATCCCTCGTTTTTGAAGCAATACTATCCTAAATATAACAACGCCAATCCGCTTGTAGTAGAATGTTTGGTTTTGAGGAAAACATAGTTCTCATATATATATATATATATATATATATATATATATATATATATATATATATACCCAAAACAAATTGCTGATAGAAGTACTAAGAACAATGCGCGAGTGCGGCAGTTTCCGAGTAATCCGAAGCAAGATCTGTGAGATATTAAAAGTTCTTAACTTCAAAACATGAATAAAAGGAGAATTTAATTTAAATGTTTTTTAACTCATGTCAAAGAGAAGCCTAACTCATGTCAAAGAGAAGAATGACTTTATAAAATTGGAATAATATTAATAACGATAAATACAAAGAATACTAAAGAATTTAATTTAGATAGATTTCTCCGACACCGTACAGGTATTTATTGTGTGACAAACATTTTTTTATCACATGCATGTTGGGAGAAGTGAACGAGTAGTTATTAATTAGAATAGCACATTCACAGATTGTCTGCGTATGTTTATCTGCATTTATTATTATTATAATGTACATACCATTGCATTACAATATATTATAATTATGTGTCTTGCAAAAGGTAAGAATGACCTCACTTCCTAGTCTGTCATAATTAAAAAGATTAAAAAAAAAGAAATTTTGCAATTTAACAAGGCAAGAGCATATGAATATACATTTCACACATGGAATATGTATGATTTGCGTTGACATATTCCGCTTTGTCTACGTAGTGTACTAGCGCCTTATGGCGCGAGTAACGAGTTGGCTAAGCTATACTGCTCTGAAGAAGGCCACAGCAAGATGGCCGGAACATCAGCACAATTGTTCGATCGAGACGCGGCTTATCCCGGATAACTAAGAATGTATTCAAGCAACAATTACAATAAAACCACCCTTAAAAATATTAACATGGTTTTTTGAAAATCTATTTTTTTAGAATAAGTTTTCTTAAAGGAAAACAAAACTTTAATATCAGTATGGAAATGCTGGCTTATTGCAATTATCGTGTGTGTTCGCCGAAAATGCGACATGCGCCGTTTTTAAGCGTCTTTTGCTCTATCCCAGAAAAAAAAGAAAAAAATGAGTCAGTTTTGAGAAGATAACTATTTAAATATTTCCTATATATTTTGCGCAATTTATGCGAAATTACCCATCTTTTCAAAAATATATCATGACCTTATAAATACCTGTATTTGAAGAAATACTTTTATTAAAAAACCTTATCAATCTTTAATGTTGCAGTTGTTGGAAGACGGCGAACAAAATTTTATCTTTTGCAAATTTGCGTCTTTTGAGAATTCTAAAATTTCAACGAAAATGGGATCTGCTTTATTATTATAAGTGTATGTTGCTCTATCCCAGGAACGAATTTTGAGCTATTGTTGAGAAATTCCCATATTTTCGAAAAATTGTACATGACTTTACATTAGATCTGTATTTGAAGATCTGCTTTTATTACAAAACATTATCAACCTTCAATGTCGTAGTTGTCATTATTAGGGGATCCCAAAAACTACATTTCCCGTTAATTCTCGAAATCGATATTCCGCAGCATTACATAACAGTGTTTTTACTAGTTACATTACTGAGTAAATACGTACTTACAGGAGAAAGTATAAAGAATAAAACAGACGCAATTTTGAATGAAAAATATGAATATTTAATTTGTATTATTCCGCCTAATCGTGTGTTGTGCAAACGCACAGAAATCTCATACTTCTTGCGCCACTGCGTACGACAGAACTGCCATCATGCCACAGCAAGACTCCAAGTAAGTAGCCGGGTTACGGAACAGCACCTTTTTTATATTTTTGGTATGCGAAGAACTGTTGTACTGAATAAATAAATTCCCTATTGCAGTTTTGTGCCGTGCAAATTCAGAAATTGAAAGAAACCTGCGCAGCCTTTTACCGTGTGAGAAGGATCTATGATTTCGTCAAATACCCAGGAACTCGGAAAAAATACAAAAACATCTATTTAATAAAACTTCTCCTGATAAATGTCTATATTTTTACTTT